ATATTTTCCTATCTAGTACATACTTCTGGTCTGGGATAGCTCGGTATGTGCTCGTATTGTCAGTATGCAGTCAGTCATGTAATCAGTATGTACTCAGTGACTCCTAATGCTCCTCTCTGTCACATCTCTTTATATAAACCACAACTATGCCCGTCGGGCCATCTGATGCTCCACATTTGTGTGATTTGGCTGAGTTATGCGATTATCCTTTATGCTTCTGAGTCTCTCTGCAGCATGACAGCAATCTGTTAGCGAGCCGAAGGACTCCCAGGGGCGAGAGCGCAGCCGGACTGGTTTGGCGAGTGTGTCACTGACGGCGGATGTCAATTGTTTCTCCCCGAACTACAGGGATGTTTTTCTATGTGGAGTTATTTCAGGGCGTGGTGCAGCGAGGAATGGAAAGATATAAAGCGTAGTGACTAACAGGTGTTTTGTGCTGGAGGCTGACATGATAAACACACAGCTGCTGCTCAGATGACATGCGTTATGGAGGACGGTGCCAACGTCATATAAGACCAGTATATAGCAGTCCTAATATGTACCCAATGCTATCTGTGCCCAGTGCAAACCTCAGCTATTTGGTAAAGGCACCCACTGACTGAAGACCATTGTTGCCTGATGCAGACAACTAAAGTTAGATTGGGGAAGGGTCCTCTGACTGCAGAACCCCTTCGGACATCTCCTGCCCAACTTTACTTGGACAAGAATTGATTGACCTTGTTGTATTATTGGGGAAGCACAGTGGCTTAGTGGTTCGCACTTACATCTTGCAGCACTGGACAAAAGTCAATGGATATAGGTGTCCACTGGCAGAAGACCTTTGTTGCCTGATGTAGACAGTCAAAGCTGGATTGAAAAAGGGTCCTATGACTGCAGAACCCCTTCAGACATCTCCTGCCCAACCTTACTTGGACAAGACTTGATTGACCTTGTTGTATTACGTGGGAAGCACAGTGGCTTAGTGGTTCACACTTACGTCTTGCAGCATTGGACAAAAGTCAATGGGTTTAGGTGTCCACTGGCAGAAGACCTTTGTTGCCTGACGTAGACAATCAAAGCTGAATTGAAGAAGGATCCTATGACTGCAGAACCCCTTCAGACAGCTCCTGTCCAACTTTACTTGGACAAGAATTGATTGGTCTTGTTGCATTACTTGGGAAGCACAGTGGCTTAGTGGTTCACTCTTATGTCTTGCAGCACTGGACAAAAGCCAATGGGTTTAGGTGTCCGCTGGCAGAAGACCTTTGTTGCCTGATGTAGACAATCAAAGCTGGATTGAAGAAGGGTCCTCTGACTGCACAGTGGCTTAGTGGTTCACACTTATGTCTTGCAGCACTGGACAAAAGCCAATGGATATAGGTGTCCGCTGGCAGAAGACCTTTGTTGCCTGATGTAGACAATCAAAGCTGGATTGAAGAAGGGTCCTATGACTGCAGAACCCCTTCAGACAGCTCCTGTTCAACTTTACTTGGACAAGAATTGATTGGTCTTGTTCCATTACTTGGGAAGCACAGTGGCTTAGTGGTTCACTCTTACGTCTTGCACCACTGGACAAAAGCCAATGGGTTTAGGTGTCCACTGGCAGATGACCATCCTTGCCTGATTTAGCCAATTGAAGTTGGAATGAAAAAAGGTCCTCTAACTGCAGAACTTCTCCAGTAATCTCCTGTCCAACTTCCTTCCAATTGTATCATTGGGGCAGTATAGGGTTAAGTAGTCAGCACTTATGCCTTACAGAACTAGGAAAAGGCTGTTGGGTATATGGATCCACTGATAAAAGACAATCCTTGCTTGATGAAGCCAGTTCAATTGAGAAAATGTCCTGTGATTTCAGAACCCATCCAGACATCCTCTGAATTGATTGCTCTTGTATTATTATGGGAGGCACAGTGGCTTAGTGGTTATCACCTATGTCTTGCAGCACTGGGTAAACATTGTTGGGTAAAGGAGTCCACTGAGAGAAGATCATAATTGCCTGATGTAGCCTATTAAACTTGGATTGAGAAAAAGACCTATGACTGCAGAACCCTTCCAGATATTCCCTGTCCACCTTACCTGGACAAGAACTGATTGGCCTTGTTGTATTATTGGGGAACCGCAGTGGCTTAGTGGTTAGCACTTATGCCTTTCAGCACTGGGCAAAGGCTGTAAGGTGTAGACCTCCACTGACTGGAGACCATTCTTTTCTAACGTATCCAGTTAAAGTTGTATTGAGAAAAGGTCCTATGACAGCAGCACCCCTCCAGTCATCCCCTGCCTTACTTTACTTGAACAAGAATTGATTGCCCCTGTTGTATCATTGGGGTAGTATGGTGGCTTAGTAGTTAGCACTTATGTCTTACATAACTAGGCAAAGGCTGTTGGGTATAAGGATTCACTGAAAGAAGACCATCCTTGCTCAATGAAGCTAGACAAAGTACAATTGAGGAAATGATTGCAGAACCCCTCCAGACACCCCTTGTCCACGTTTACTTGATTTCCCTTGTTGTATCACTGGGATAGCATAGAGGCTTAGTGGTTAGCACTTATACCTTGCAGAACTGGGTAACGATTGTTCGGTAAATGTATTCACTGACAGAAGATCCTCCTTGCCCAATGCTGCTAAATTAAGTTGGATTGAGAGAAGGTCCTAAGACTGCAGAACCTCTCCAGACATCTCCCGTCCAACTTTACTTGGTCAACAATTGATTGCCCTTGTTGTCTCATTGGGCCAGCACAGTGGCTTAGTGGTTAGCACTTTTCTTTTGCAGTACTGGGTAAAGATTGCTGGTTAAAGGTGTCCACTGATAGAAGACCATTCTTGCCTGATGTAGACAATCAAAGTTGGATTGAGAAAAGGTCTAATGGCTGCAGAACTTTGTTGTTGTATTAGGGCAGCACAATGGCTTAGTGGTTAGCACTTATGCCTTGTGGTCCTGGGGTCTTAAATCTTGGTAGGGGTCATGTTTGTTTGTTCTAGTGTTTGTGTGGGTTGAAGAAAGACCAAACCTGAGTCTAAACCTGGAAAGCAGCTTTCACTGGCAGGCCAATAAGCGGAGGGGTATTCCCCACCTCACAGCTTCACATACACACAGGGTTGGGGGTGCAATTGACATCACTGGCCTAATGTGGTCAATGATGTCACAACTATCCCCACCCCTTTGTGTACTTAAAGCTCTGGGGTAGCAAAGCCCCCATCGACATCTCATTGCCCCACCACTGACAGCTGTCTTATGGATTTGGACCAAAACCAAGCTCATCCCTACTGGCGACCTACCTCAAACAAAAATTCAGTGGGAAAAGGCTTCAAAGCATATCAGACCTGGGACCCATAAAATCGACTGATATACAAATACATATGTAGTGCTGCCCCCATAGGGTCCGCTTGTAATAGCTAGTTCTTCCATAATAGTACAGAGGGTGCCCACCACCATAAGTACCAGAGTACACACACCAGCTCCAATAACTGAGCCTACGGAATTTTTTTTTTTTATATTTATTGGGAGAGAGGTTACGGCATGGAATACTCCAGTTCAGTGTCAGTACTTACAAATCCCCAGGACAGCTGTACACCTTCCAGCTTCCTCCAGACACGGTCCAGTGAGGGAGACAATCCTTCACCAGACCGATCCCTATGGTGAAGTCCCACAGCCAGCTCCTCAAAAAGATCACTTCAGGCTCTCAGGCCTGCCACAGCTGAGGCCTCAAAGGGCAGCTACACAGTCCGCAGGCTGCTTCAGGGGGCAGCGGAACCAGAGGTTTCGGAAAGAAAGAACAATCTCTCCAGGACTCCAGATTATTTATGACCTTCCCAGCCACCTTCTGGAAACTTCCTCCAGGGAGTGATACATATTTAGGCTGGTCAATTGACTCTACATATTCTGGAAACGTCTTCCAGAACTAAGGGGAAGCTGCCAAACTCTCAGCCTGTGAAACTCTGAACAGACCAGAGCAAACAACGCCTGCTCCCTCGACTACAGAAGAAGCCAAAAGCGAAATGTACCTAACATCCCACACTAGGAGGGCGCTACACATACATTGTATTATTCTGGCCAGTCTTGGTTCAAATGCCAGCCAGGATACTATCTGCATGGAGTTTGCATGCTCTCCCTTTGCTTGTGTTGGTTTCTTCCCACATTCTACAGACCTGCTTTTAGATTAAATGGCCATTGTATGTATGCATGTGAGATAGGGCCAAGGCTTTTTTTTCACAGAATAGGTGCAGGAACTTCCCCTTTCTGCATCACTTTTTGTCTCTGAAATTGTCCAATATGTCTTGGTATGCTGACGCCTTAAGAGTTCCCTTCACTGGAACTAGGGGGCCAAGCCCAACCCCTGAAAAAACACCCCCACACCATAATCCCTCCTCCACCAAACTTTACACTTGGCACAATGCAGTCAGGCAAGTACCGTTCTCCTGCCAACCACCAAACCCAGACATGTCCATCGGATTGCCAGACAGAGAAGCATGATTGGTCCCTCCAGAGAACACGTCTCCATGCTCTAGAGTCCAGTGGCCGCATGCTTTACATCCGACGCTTTGCATTGCACTTGGTGATGGAAGGCTTGGATGCAGCTGCTCGGCCATGGAAACCCATTCCATGAAGCTCTCTACGCACTGTTGTTGGGCTCATCTGAAGGCCACACCAAGTTTGGAGGTCTTTAGCTATTGACTCTGCAGACAGTTGGCGACTTCTGCGCACTGTGCGCTTCAGCATGCGCTGACCCCGCCCTGTCATGTGACGTGGCCTACCACTTGGTGGCTGAGTGGCTGTTGTTCCCAGTGGCTTCCACTTTGTTATAATCCCACTAACAGTTGAGCGTGGAATATTTAGTAGCCAGGAAATGTCACGGATGGACTTATTGCCCAGGTGGCCACCTATCACGGGACCACGCTTGGAGTCACTGAGCTCCTGAGAGCGACCCATTCTTTCACCAATGTTTGTAGAAGCCGTCTGCATGCCTAGGGGCTTGATTGTATACACCTGTGTCCATGGAGGGGATTGGAACACCTGAATCACATGATATGGAGGGGATTGGAACACCTGAATCACATGATATGGAGGGGATTGGAACACCTGAATCACATGATTGGGAGGGGATTGGAACACCTGAATCACATGATTGGGAGGGGATTGGAACACCTGAATCACATGATATGGAGGGGATTGGAACACCTGAATCCCATGATTGGGAGGGGATTGGAACACCTGAATCACATGATATGGAGGGGATTGGAACACCTGAATCACATGATTGGGAGGGGATTGGAACACCTGAATCACATGATATGGAGGGATTGGAACACCTGAATCACATGCTATGGAGGGGATTGGAACACCTGGAACACATGATATGGAGGGGATTGGAACACCTGAATCACATGATTGGAGGGGATTGGAACACCTGAATCACATGATATGGAGGGGATTGGAACACCCGAATCACATGATATGGAGGGGATTGGAACACCTGAATCACATGCTATGGAGGGGATTGGAACACCTGAATCCCATGATTTGGAGGGGATTGCAACACCTGAATCACATGATTTGGAGGGGATTGGAACACCTGAATCACATGATTTGGAGGGTGGGGACAATACTTTGGGCAATATAGTATATATTCAGTGCTGGAGCTGCCAAAACTGTGCTTCCCAAAGTTGTTGCTGAAAAAGGCCCTGGATAGGGTCCTTAGATTGTAAGCTCCTTGGGGTCAGGGACTGAGGGGAATGTACAGTATGTAGAGCTCTGTGTTGGTGACATATATTACATAGTTAGTCTGGCTGAAAAAAGACAAAAGTCCATCCAGTTCAACCATTAAAAAGAAAAAGGTTATGATCCTCCACCCACAGCTGATCCAGAGGACATATATAAGTTCACGTTGCTGAGACCCTTCAGTCATCCCAGATGGAGGGTCTGCCCTGCCCTTGTCCCAGTGGTCGGTGAGTGGTTTGGTTGTGCTCTTCATCACGTCCAATTTCTCAGATTTCATTGTTATTGGAAACCAGCAGCCATAACACTTGTGGCCATTGTCCTCCTGTACACGACCCATTTAGAGGGCTGCCTTTTAAGCGTGTTATCTGCATGTCCATTCATCATGTACAGTATACACATCACACAGCAGGCGTGTTTGTCCCGGCCGGGGTTACGTTTTGTTATGTGTGTGGCTGGGTGTGATTGTATGTGGAAAGGGTGGGAGATGGAATCTCGTCTTTTACACACTTTTATCAGACAAACAAATCGGCGAGAATCGCTCTCTGCTCGGTGGAGTAAGGAATCCCTACGAAGGACTCGGCGCTCGGACCAATAAAACGCCTTCAACAACGGGCTCAGCTACTCCCACTCAAGATTTCCATCTTGGTTCTAATGATTTCTTGGCTGAGGTGACTCAGGTGTCTGGAGAACTGGAAGAACGGAAGCATTCTATATAAACGTTGCATCGCCATGAATCGTAATTGCTGGCTTTGATTTGTTTTTTAAAGCTCGTGGATTTATACAATAAATCTGGTGATCCCGCCAATTTACGACCCTTCCTCAACAGGGTGACAACACTATTTACCTGCATTGCAGTGTTGTCAGCCTATGAAGTGGCTCCCCAGGGCGTAGATAAGGAGAGGATAGGGGGGTTCAAAACTCCCCCACCCAGAGCATCTGTGCTGCTGCAGCTACCCCTGACAGACTCTACACACCAGATGCACTGCAGCTCTGCTGAGTCCACCAATCAGACCTCAGAGACAGGCAGCGGCTATTCAGAATCAGGAAGACTCTCTTTAGCTCCTCCTCTGCTCTGGTCACATGACACAGCTGATGGAGAGGACTTTCACTTGCTCTGAAATGCCTGGTGGGTTTCATTGATTACTACTGCTGGGAGAAGGGTGGGGGAAGGGGGACTGTACTGTACTGGGGAAGCTGTACTCGGGAGGGGATCTGTCCTGAAAGGGAATCTGTTCTGGTAGGGAGATCTATACTGTGGAAGGAATATGTTACTGGGGGGGGGGGGGTTGATTTCTACTGGTTATGGGGAAATCAGTACTTAGGGGAAGTTGTATTGTGGGGGGGGCGATGGGTGGGGGGACTGTACTGCACTGGGGGAAGCTGTGTTGCTGAGGAGGGGATCTGTCCTGGGGTGGGGATCTGTACAGGGAGGAGATCTATACTGGGGAAAGGCATATGCACTGGGGGGGGGGGGGTTGATTTCTACTGGTTATGGGGAAATCAGTACTTAGGGGAAGTTGTATTGTGGGGGGGAGGTGTGGGGGGATGTACTGCACTGGGGGAAGCTGTACTGAGGAGGGGATCTGTCCTGGGAGGGGGAATCTGTACAGGGAGGAGATCTTATACTGGGGAAGGCATATGCACTGGGGGGAGATCTGTACTGCTGGGAGCTCTATTTGGGGGGAGATCTGCACTGGGTGAGATCTGTACTGATAGTGGGAGAAATCAGTACTTGAGGTTAAGTTATACTGTTGAAGGGGGTCTTCTGATGGGGGGGGGGGGGGGCTGGATTGTATGGGGGGAAGCTGTACTGAGGAGGGGATCTGTCCTGGGAGGGGAATCTGTACTGAGAGGAGATCTATCCTGGGGAAGGAATATGTACTGGGGGGGGGGGGATCTGTACTGGGTGTGTGAATTCTATTGTGGGGAGTCTTTACTGGGGGGAGATTTGTAATGGTGAAACTCTAATGGGGGAGATCCTTACGGGGGGGGGGTTCGGGAAAACTGGTGGTGGGAACTCTACTGGGGGGAGATCTTTACTCAGGAGCAGGGGCGGACTGACAACTCATGGGGCCCAACGGGCCATAGGGATCATGGGGCCCCTGTGTCCTTGCCCAAACTCAAAAAAGTCTATGAAAAGGGTACCAGGAGCATCTCATGGGGTGGCCCCCTAATGACCCTGGGCCCTCGGGCAGCGCCCGAGTTTCCAAATGGTCAGCCAGCCCCTGCTCAGGAGAGATCTGTACTGGTGGGAGCTTTACTGGGGGAGATCTTTACTGGGGGGAGATCTTTACTGGTGGGAACTCTACCCGGGGGAGATCCTTACTGGGGGGGGTTCGGAAAACTGGTGGGAACTCTACTGGGGGGAGATCTTTACTGGGTTAAGATATGTTTACTTTGTAGTGGGGGAGAGATCAGTACTGGGGTTCAAGCTTTTTGTACTGTGAGGGGATGGGTGGGGGGACTGTACTGTACTGAGGGAAGCTGTACTGAGGAGGGGAATCTATCCTGGGAGGGGACTCTGTACTGAGGAGGGGATCTATACTGGGGAAGGCATATGCACTGGGAGGAGATCTGTACTGGTGGGAGCTTTACTGGGGGAGATCTTTATTGGGGGGTTCGATCTTTACTGGTGGGAAATCTACTGGGGGAGATCTTTACTGGGGGAGATCAGTACTGGTGATGGGGAGATCAGTACTGGGGGAAGATGTCTTCTACCAATTGTATGTGTTACTCCAGACCCTCCGCGCTCTGTATGTTACACAGCTATTGGGGGCTGTCTGGAGCAGCAGGGGAGCAAAACCCAGATGATTATATACAGATGGGAAGAGAAGCAGTAGCATGAACCTATTGAATCATTTCCTCCCCTCCCCCAGTGATTAGACTGTACATTGTACCTTTGTAGAAGGAGGAGGAGGTGGGGTCTCAGTCCTGGAAGGGATCGGTATTAATATGACGCAGACCCCCAATCCTTATGCCGTGTAGCGGTGCCCCCCGGGGGGCCATATTTGTAAGTGATAAATATACCCCAGAATGAGTCCAGGTGCCAGGCATCTCTCAGCGGCTTTTGTGGATTATTGAACTCTGGCCAGTCAGGACTCGGATTGTACTCAGGGAGGCAGAGACTGATAAGAGGAGGGGCTCGTGGGAACTCTCTTGTTATAGAATTCTGGACTCCGGGGAGGAAGTGCCGGCTCGGTTCTGGTCCCTATTCCCACCTCTGGCCCTGACCTTCATGACGGTGACCACAGGCTGTTCATGAGAGAGAAGGGCCGGGTGGGAGCGGAGGAAGTCACATCTCTCTGAGGGACTGCTGGACTTTGCCTTCCCTGGTTCCCCTCCCCACTCGGTAATATGATGAAGACATTTTTAAATAAAACTTTTCTATTTTCATTACATACCTTATTTTATACTTGGTGATGTCATAACTGGGTCTCTGTGCTTCTCTATGGAACAGGAAGGGGCCATGAAATTGTCCAAAATATCGCCTTAAGAGTTCCCTTCACTGGAACTAGGGGGCCAAGTCCAAGCCCTGAAAAACACCCCCACATCATAATCCCCCCTCCACCAAAATTTACACTTGGCACAATGCAATCAGGCAAGTACCGTTCTCCTGGCAACCGCCAAACCCAGACACGTCCATCGGATTGCCAAACAGAGAAGCGTGATTGTTGTTGTTGGGCTCATTTGAAGGCCACACCAAGTTTGGAGGTCTTTAGCTATTGACTCTGCAGACAGTTGGCGACTTCTGCGCACTGTGCGCTTCAGCATGCCCTGACCCCGCCCTGTCATGTGACGTGGCCTACCACTTGGTGGCTGAGTGGCTGTTGTTCCCAGTGGCTTCCACTTTGTTATAATCCCACTAACAGTTGAGCGTGGAATATTTAGTAGCCAGGAAATGTCACGGATGGACTTATTGCCCAGGTGGCCACCTATCACGGGACCACGCTTGGAGCCACTGAGCTCCTGAGAGCGACCCATTCTTTCACCAATGTTTGTAGACGTAGTCTGCATACCTAGGGGCTTGATTGTATACTCCTGAGTCCATGGAGGGGATTGGAACACCTGAATCACATGATATGGAGGGGATTGGAACACCTGAATCACATGATATGGAGGGGATTGGAACACCTGAATCACATGATATGGAGGGGATTGGAACAGCTGAATCACATGATATGGAGGGGATTGGAACACCGAAATCACATGATTTGGAGGAGATTGGGACACCTGATTCACATGATATGGAGGGGATTGGAATACCTGAATCACATGATTGGGAGGGGATTGGAACACCTGAATCACATAATATGGAGGGGATTGGAACACCCGATTCACATGATATGGAGGGGATTGGAACAACGGAATCACATGATATGGAGGGGATTGGAACACCTAAATCACATGATATGGAGGGGATTGGAACACCTGAATCACAGGATATGGAGGGGATTGGAACACCTGAATCACATGATATGGAGGGGAGTGGAACACCTGAATCACATGATATGGAGGGGAGTGGAACACCTGAATCACATGATATGGAGGGGACACCTGAATCACATGATATGGAGGGGATTGGAACACCTGAATCACATGATATGGAGGGGAGGGGACACCTGAATCACATGATTGGGAGGGGATTGGAACACCTGAATCACAGGATATGGAGGGGATTGGAACACCTGAATCACATGATATGGATGGGAGGGGACACCTGAATCACGTGATTGGGAGGGGATTGGAACACCTGAATCACATGATATGGAGGGGATTGGAACACCTGAATCACATGATATGGAGGGGATTGGAACACCTGAATCACATGATATGGAGGGGATTGGAACACCTGAATCACATGATATGGAGGGGAGGGGACACCTGAATCACGTGATTGGGAGGGGATTGGAACACCTGAATCACATGATATGGAGGGGATTGGAACACCGGAATCACATGATATGGAGGGCGGGGACAACACTTGGGACAATATAGTGTGTAGAGTAGTACAGCATCAGAGATTTTTTTAAATAAAACATACCGGGAAATGTTATTCTGGAGGAGTTGGTATCTGGAGTTCCGCAGACGGGGACACATTTTCATTTATCGGCTCTAATGATGAAATTTGGTGAAGTTCCGCCATTTTTTTCTAAATTGAACGGAGTGAACACCCCGAAGTGGTGGGTCCCGCCTGCAGGCAGCTCCTTCTCTGAAGTGATGGAGCAAAGTGCGGATGTGGTCAGCGCAGGTCGGGCCGAGGACTAATCCAGGCTCTGTGTTCTGTCAGCCATGGTGATTCTCATCGCCGGCTCCCTGTTTGTCTGCGCGGTGCGAGGAGGACGGGGATTACATGCGGTCACAACACTTTGTATTGGATTAGCTGCAGTGCCAGATCTCTATTGACAAGGAGAAAGTCATCACTTTGTTTGGTGAGAACTTCTACAAGAGTTCTTGGGAACCGGGCGGGTCAGCGCAGTTTGCCCAGGTTGGGGGCGGGAACAGGGATTGGCCAGCGGGGGGCAGTAGAGGACAGTGTTCTAGGTCAGGTACAGAATTTTGTTGAATCCAGAATATTACACCGAGAAATGTAACTCATTATATATATATATTCCCCAAACTGACCCCCACCATGGGGTCCCTCCCCTTCAGTCTTGCACAGATGTACTGGCTCCTCCCCTTCAGTCTTGCACAGGTGTACCGGCTCCTCCCCTTCAGTCTTGCACAGGTGTACCGGCTCCTCCACTTCAGTCTTGCACAGGTGTAGCGGCTCCTCCCCTTCCATCTTGCACAGGTACCGCTCCTCCCCTTCCGTCTTGCACAGGTGTACCGGCTCCTCCCCTTCCGTCTTGCACAGGTTTACCGGCTCCTCCCCTTCAGTCTTGCAAAGGTGTACAGGCTCCTCCCCTTCAGTTTTGCACAGGCGTATCGGCTCCTCCCCTTCAGTCTTGCACAGGTGTACCGGCTCCTCCCCTTCAGTCTTGCATAGGTGTACCGGCTCCTCCCCTTCTGTCTTGCACAGGTGTATTGGCTCCTCCACTTCAGTCTTGCACAGGTGTACCGGCTCCTCCCCTTCAGTCTTCAACAGGTGTAGCGGCTCCTCCCCTTCCATCTTGCACAGGTACCGGCTCCTCCCCATCAGTCTTGCACAGGTTTACCGGCTCCTCCCCTTCAGTCTTGCATAGGTGTACAGGCTCCTCCCCTTCAGTTTTGCACAGGCGTATCGGCTCCTCCCCTGCAGTCTTGCACAGGTGTACCGGCTCCTCCCCTTCTGTCTTGCACAGGTGTACCGGCTCCTCCCCATCGGTCTTGCACAGGTGTACCAGCTCCTCCCCTTCAATCTTGCATAGGTGTACCGGCTCCTCCCCTTCTGTCTTGCACAGGTGTATCGGCTCCTCCCCATCAGTCTTGCACAGGTGTACCAGCTCCTCCCCTTCAGTTTTGCACAGGTGTATCAGCTCCTCCCCTTCAGTCTTGCACAGGTGTAGCGGCTCCTCCCCTTCCATCTTGCATAGGTGTACAGGCTCCTCCCCTTCAGTCTTGCACAGGTGTATTGGCTCCTCCCCTTCAGTCTCGTGCAGGTGTACTGGCTCCTCCCCTTCAGTTTCGCACAAGTGTACCGGCTCCTCCCCTTCAGTTTTGCACAGGTGTACCAGCTCCTTCCCTTCAGTCTTGCATAGGTGTACAGGCTCCTCCCCTTCAGTCTTGCATAGGTGTACAGGCTCCTCCCCTTCAGTCTTACACAGGTGTATCGGCTCCTCCCCTTCAGTCTTGTGCAGGTGTACTGGCTCCTCCCCTTCCGTCTTGCACAGGTGTACTGGCTCCTCCCCTTCCGTCTTGCACAGGTGTACAGACTCCTCCCCTTCCGTCTTGCACAGGTGTACAGGCTCCTTACCTTCAGTCTTGCACAGGTGTATCGGCTCCTCCCCTTCAGTCTTGTGCAGGTGTACTGGCTCCTCCCCTTCAGTCTTGCACAGGTGTACCGGCTCCTCCCCTTCAGTCTTGCACAGGTGTACTGGCTCCTCCTCTTCAGTTTCGCACAGGTGTACCGCCTCCTCCCCTTCAGTCTTGCACAGGTGTACCGGCTCCTCCCCTTCAGTCTTGCACAGGTGTACCGGCTCCTCCCCTTCAGTCTTGCACAGGTGTACTGGCTCCTCCTCTTCAGTTTCGCACACTTGTACCTGTTCCTGTCCAGGCCTGGAATGGCTTCCTCTGATGTCACCACATACTGGGAGCTCCTCACAATGTGCATTAGAAGCTGCAGCAAGTCAGATAGAGCTCCGCCTCATTTCCTGGCTGGAGGACTTCCAGCGTCATCTAGGGCCCCCAGGCATATAGGGGATCATGGGAGCCCCTGTGTGTCCTTGCCCAAAACTCAAGAAAGCCTATGAAAAGGTACCAGGGGCATCTCATGGGGCCCCCTACTGACCCCGGGCCCTCGGGCAGTGCCCGAGTTTCCAAATGGATCAGTCCCGCCCCTGAACCCACCCATCAAAGGCCCATTTGATATTTGACATAACTCATCCACTATTTGCATCACTGAGGCTCTTAAGAGAGTACTAGAGGCAGGGAGCTGTGATGTGTTCAGGAATGCTATGTACAGCCCCCTGCTGTCCCCTCCCATCAGGCCATGATCTGCTACAACATTGCATAGAGAAGCACCAGAGACCCCAGTTGATCGACCATCACCGGGTATACAATAAGGAAAATTTAATGGGGTAAAAGTAAATGAATAATGTCGTATCATGATTGATGTGGTGGGGGGGGCGGGTAGGAACCAGAGAAGGCAGAACATAAGCAACTAGTCGTCAGCTGTAATGATAATATAGACGGTAATACCTTTTTCATTGTGGAATTAAACTTCCTGTGCCAGATACAAATGTGACCACAACACTCCAGGTGACGGCCGTGGACGACTGGTAGACAGACAGGTAAGTGCCTTTACGGGCGTACTCCATGGCCGTACATTAGATAATATAGGCGTCTGAGCATATCGGAAGGATTGGCGGAGAATTCCCTGAACTTCACACTTCGTCTCTACAAATCGCGTCTGTAATCTGCCTGACACCGCTCTGCCAGCATTAAACTGTCCTACCTCAACTACCTCGCCGTACCCCCCCCACCCCCCCCCCCCCCACCCCGGCAATCTTCTCGTCCTCCAGAGGAGGCGCCAGCATTCATCCTGAACAGCCAGGCTGCATGCCTATGATCACGGGGGCCCCCGTTCGCCGCCCTAACAGGTCCCCCCCCAAAAAAAAAAAAATGATATTTTCACAAAAAAACAAAACCCAAGTCATTATTTTTGGACGCACACTAACTTTCCAGGAAATAAAACAGCGTGGACCACTGTTTCTCCCCCTTCATTTTTTTTCTGCGGGTTTGCACTGGCTACTTTCCCCGGTAATTACTCATCGTGCACGCGCACCCGATACATTTATATCATTTTTTTTCACACAAACAGACTTTTTTGGGGG